CACTCCGACTCAATATCTACCCAGACATTGCGCCGGGATTGAGGAGATCCTCGAAATTTCGGTCAAATTCTCCTCTCCAGTACCCTGGCATAGACTTTCCCGGGGAGGCTGAGGAGTGTGATTCCCCCTATAGTTGGAACACACCCTCTGCAAAACACCCAGGCGCAAGCAGAGTGATGTGGTGTATGCAATTAAATGTAGTCAGGAATGTAACGACTTGTACACTGGTGAAACCCAGGACAATAGGCGTCGGTCGACAGGGGAGGATTCAAAGACAGGTAACTACTCTCACCGATACGGGGCTACAATGACTCAGTTGTTAAGGGACGTTTCCTTCAAAGGCCTGAAATACCACCGAGGGGGATAAATATCTCCGGCTCAACACCAGTCAGAACTGATGAAGCCTCTTGGATGAGAGGTGAAAACGTCAGTTTTTTCAGTTTATTATGACCTGGATGACTGAGAATCTGCACAGACAAGGAAGGAGTCCATCTTTCTTCATTTTAGTGCTGATTTATTTTAAAAGTTACAGAACACAACCCCGGTCCAGACAACTGCTGGAAGAAAAGAGTCTCCCAAAACACAGAGCCTAATATATTTATAAGTTTTTGGGCTAACCCCTTACACAAAAAGATATAAAAACATCACTAATTGGAGACAGTCCAGCGTCGCCTTCTTTTATACTAGAGCTCCACAGGCTTGGAGCAGCTGGACATAACAAAATGAAGAATTCCATGTGTCTGTTGTTACGCACCACGTAACTAAAACATACATTCAGACATAATTCTAACACAAGATTAATACAAGAAAACAATTGGTATCAAGGTACACTTTTCATAATCAACATCGTCTTCTAAAATTGAAGCAGAGCAGACTTTGAATCTTACTAAACTGCATTACTAACACAAAGTCTAACACAATGTCTAATACCGTATTTTCTACACCATAAGGCGCATGCTAAAACGTAACTGAAGCAAAACAGTGAGTTTAGTTTAACTTTATTCTAGTATTTAACAATACACTCACATTATTTTTTAATCAATATTCTCCCACAAATCTACTTCCGAACCATAGATTCATTGATTTTGAATTCTTTCGCAGCTGCTCTATTCCCATTTACAACCGCGTAGCCTGTAGTTTGAATTGTGCCTCGTAAGCATGTCTCTTCACTAGTGCCATTTTCGGGGGTCCTTAGACCGGTTTAGACTGGTTTATCGCTGCCAGCGTACGTAGTGTACGTATTACGTCCCTGTGTCAGCGGGAAATGGTCCGACAGTCAATCAAGCGGAGCGCTTACCAAAGTCGCACAACAACATTTTTACAGATTTTGGAACTCAGTGCACACATAAGGCGCACCGGATTTTTTGGGCGCACGGCCGATTTTTGAGAAAATTTAAGGCTCTTAGGTGCGCCTTATAGTGCGGAAAATATGGTAATTGTTTAGAAATGAATAAATCAGTCAATTAATATCAAAGCAAGACAAGACTGTGCATAGTACCTGGATGGGAAGTAGAGTTTCTTTGCAGCTTCAAGGAAGAACTCCAGAGCCGTGGATACCTTGTTATTACTGGCCATTTGGAGGAACAGGATCTGTGACAACAAATTTAGCCTCAAGTCAAACGGCTACTCCAAGTTGCTTGCAAGTTGACTTCTGCATCGTATGTTCTTCTTAATTAGAACATTTAAATGACTGTAGATGAATTCCAGGGTCGAAAATCTGATTCCACCAAACATAACCACACCACATCTGTAGAGTAAAAATAATTAGACGTACATGGACTCTCCCATGTAACTGCACACTGTTGCACATACAGCGGATGTAGCTTATATTTCTAATAATTTTAACCCTC